CTGTAGACCAGGCTGTCCTCGAGCTCATGGAGATCTGCCTGCCTCTGCCTCCCAAGTGCTGAGATTAAAGTTTTGCGCCCCTGCTGCCTGGCTCTTGAGTGGAATTTTTTTGGTTTTCAGTGATAACGGTGAGTCCCACGCTGTCTTAACTATAGACCTTTAGGACATGTAACCCCAGTGCCTTTGATCCTGACTGAAATGGAGATTTCTGCTTTCTTATTCCAGAATGGCAGTAGATTTCAGTGGATGCATGGTGAATTCCTAAGCACACTCCTAAGCACCGGGAGCCTTATTAGCACTAAGATCTGACCCTCAGGAGCAGGAGGCGTCCACTGCTGCATCTGCCTGGCCCATGGTGGGCTAGGCATGGGTTGAATGGGCCCATCCTACCATCGGTGCTGGCTGCGCCTCCACCTGAACCTTCTGGTGCTCTCTGCGCACCTGGATTTCTTGTTCCAAGTTGCAGTTCTACGCTGTTTGAGGACTTGGAGTATTCAGAACCTTCTGATCTTTTCCAGGTTCATCTGGCACTTTGAACTTTTAGGGAATTCTCTGGTGCTCCAGTGCACTGCAAGATTCCAAGTTAGATTAAGTGTGGACTCATTTATTTTAAAATTGCCCATCCATAGGGCTCCCTTGCTCATGCCTGCGGGACGGGCAGGACATTGTGGGCAGTGCAGAGCATGGTGTGACCGATTTAATGGGTATCACATTTTTTTGGAGCTGGCTCTGTGTCGTAGATTCTTTACTCTGACTGCTTGTTTATTTACATCAATGGACCATCCATCAGGCCAGGACCTGTGTCACCTCTTATGTTGATACCCATGGTGTGGAGATTCTCAATGAAATGGGTGGTGGAAAGCAAGCAAAATGTCTTCCATGGCCATAGACTGTTGAGGGAGGAGATGATTCCTGCCCTTGCAGTCAGACTAAATGGTTCTCACTGTTTTCTAGGTTCTCAGTTACCACTAATGTGCTTGGGTAGCTCACTCTTTGGATGCTAATCCTATTTTCCTTAACTTCGACTTGGACTGGAGTTCTGCTAAAATGGCCTCTTGGAATGCAAAGCCTTCGCTGCCTCCTTGCCCTGCTCCTAGTTCTTGAGGATCACATTGGAATCATCCGTTGAGCCGTCCTTTAAACAGACTCTCAGACACCTACCCTTGGAGGAGATCTCTATCCCTGGCCAGCCCACCCCTCTTAAGTCAGCCCAGCAGTGAGAGGAGCTCTGGTGCCTGAGCAGATGTTTCGGCGCCTCAGGTCTTCCTGGTGGATAGATATGAAGGAAGCAAGGAATGCCTAATGCTGTGGCAGAACCTACTGTAGCTTGGACAACATAATCCAACAGTTTGACCCACGTTCTGAGCACATCCAAAACTGGCCTGTGATGACTGGGGGGCTCTGGTTAGGGCAGCCTGGGCTAGGTGTCTGAAGGGACTGTATATGCAACACTGCCTAAAATGGGGCTTAAAGAGAGCTCATTACTTGGTTGTTAGCATCTTTTATTTCTTTGTTCTCTACCTCATTTCCCTTCCTTTTTCAGTTTCTCTTGCATTATTAAGCATTGTTAGTCTTGTTGGTAGCTGTGCAAATGCCTGCTGAGCCAACCTCGAAGTCCTGCTGGAATTCCCCTTGAGTGGGCATTTTGGCTTGTCCTCTGGCCTGTCTTGGCCGTGTGCAGCAGCAGTGTCTTCATAGACCATACTCAGGAAAAGCAGGTGGCGGGTGAGGTGGTATTGTTTGCTGTGCTTTTGAAAGGTTGAGAGATGCACCCACTGTGTGGTTCTCTAGGGGACTTCTGCTGCCACCCTGAAATGGTTGCATTCCTAGCCTGGGCACACTGTCCAGCATGGGACCCAAGCTCTTTGATGTGCCATAGCTGGGAACAAGTTAGTGCTTTGGGCAGCATGATCCTGTGCTGTCATGTTTCAAATGAGTCAATGGGCTCTGAGGTAACTGGTGGTGGGAGTAGCAGCAAGGATGCACACAGTGACCACACTCTCAGGCACATTTCCTAGGTGATGTGGGGTCTGTAGAGGGTAGGGAAGCTGGTCAATCCCATTTACCAGGCCCTGATACTCTCACTTGGCTGCAGCCTTGTGGGTTCTTGCAGGTTGGGAGCCCAGGAGAGAAAGGATCGTGTCCCCACTCTCCTACCTTCATGCCTCAACTTTGCATGAAGCACCTAAGTCTGCTCCTGTCTGTGGGTGGGAGCTTTTCAGAGTGGAGACCTAAGCACCTCAGGGGCCCTTTACTGGCCACTCTGTTTGTACCCCAGTTGTCCCTTAGAATACCTGGGCCAAAGGGGAGCTTTTAGAGAAACAATAGTAGTTAAAAGTCTGGGGCTGGGTCTGTCTTGGGACTTAGTTGCAGTGGCACATTTGTGGTGTCATTTGGGCATGAGCAAGGTGTTTGGGCTCTGCCTTGGCCTTTGGAGACCTCAAAACTCTCTGTAACATATGCTTGGGGTCATTGGCTCTGTCTAGGAGCTATCTCATCTTTTTGTTTTGGTTATCAAGAATGGTGGGCCTGTGTATGATCTAGACAGTAAGCCTCAGTGCTAGGAAGGCACTTTATTCCCCATCCTCCAGTTGATGGGAGAGTCATTGTAGGAAATGGTTCACAAAGGAGGTAGAGGCACAGAGAAGAGAGGGCTCATACCTGGCTTTGTGTCAAAGCCATGTCTTCTCTAGGTAGTGGATGCAAGAGCTTTTCAAGCTTGGGTCTCTGGTCCACATTGCCTCTCAGGACATGTCCAGGGCCTTGGAAGCCCTCAAGAATCTGGTTGGGCTGTGCAAGCACCATTGTCCTGTTTGGGCTGCAGTACCCTCTGGAAAGCAGGCCCCTGGGGTCTTTCCTGGAAGCTTCTCAAGTTTCACAGGAGCCGTGCCAGCTTCTTCTCAAGGTGGTGTGTGTTTTTATGTAATGTGTGAAAAACTTTCTGTAAACTTGGAGCCCAGATGTGGTGTGCCCTGATAATTAAACACTTGGGAAAACTAGACAGACATTTAATCATACTTTTCCCTTCTCAGAATTATAAACCTTAGTTTTTCTTTTAGGGGCTGTTTAGGCCCCAGCAAAGCACCTTACTTGCTGGGAATACCAAATATATGTGGGCTGTGCTTTTGGGTCCTATCCTGGGCCTCCTTCCTAGGATATATGCCAGTGATGGGGACCTGCTTGTCCAAGACCTTGAGATTCCTCAGACCTGCCTGCTCAGCCTAGCAATGGCAGATATTTCTGGGCTTGCAGTCTTCTCTAAGATTCTGGGTTCTGGAGCAAGGACTTTGCCCCTCTGTCAGTCCAGCCAGGTTGGGAAGGCTGTGTCTGTGTTGAATCTGCTAATTCAAGGCAGTGGATGTTATTGCCCCCCCTCCCCCACCCCAAGCAGCACATGCCTCCTAAGAACTCTTGGGCCTTGCAGCCCTTCAAGGGTAGGGTGTGGATGGCTTCTTCCCTGTCATGTGCCTTCTGCTTTGCAGATGAGCAAACAAGAGGCCTTGTCAGCACAAGCAGGTCCTTTTCACAGGTGTGATGTAGAGAATGCTGTGTCAACTGTGTAATCTAGACAGTCACTGCAAATATTCCTAAGAAAATGTTGTGAGTGTAACATACATGATTTACTTTGGAAATAGTTTTTTACGTTTTAAGTACATGGGAAGGTGGGCATATATGAAAAAAGTATTGCCAGGACCCCCCCCCTTTTTTTTTTTTTTTTTTTCCTTCTCTGTCTGAAGCTGGCGCAGCCAGGAGCCAGGCAAGCACACAGCATTGGGGCATGATGCTCCTGACTGGGGGCACTCTGGGGGTGGTTGTTCATGGCTGTGCCTTTTTCTACTTACTGACTTGAATGGAAGATTAGACTTCTTGGGAAGAATATGGTAGTTGCATTGACTAAGATTTGTCTTTATTAAAATACTTTTCAAATATCAAGGTGATGTGGTTGCTTTTGTCCAGACATTCATTTATCTGGTCACCAGTGTGGTTCAGCTTCCTGGGGGGAGGTATGCAGTGGTGGCTTGCCTCAGCTGGGGTGGAGCTCCATGTGCTTTGTGCTTGGGGACTTGAGGATTGTTCAGGTGACTTGGACCCACACTTTCTGTTTTTAAAGTGTTTCAGCATTTTTTAAAAGTTGTTTTTAATACCCACATTTGGAACTATATAGTCCTGGTGTTGCTGGTGAAACCCAGGGCCTATGTGTATGTGGAGGCAAGTGCTGTACCACTGGGTTCTCTATATATATAGCCCTGGTTTTGATTTTTGGTGTTTTTGTTGTTGTTTTGCTTTTAGAACTTAATTTTCTGTTTACTATCCCTAAAGTTCCACAGGTATCGATGTTTTTGTGGAGTATTGTAGTGTTCCATCACTCGAGGGCACTGGAGGGCCCTTGTCTAGACACTACTCGTTCATTTCACAGTAGACAGACAGACTGGCTTTGTTGGAAGCTCACTGAGCTGCATGTGGTCCTTTAATTTTGGGAGTGGTAACAGATTCTTTTTGCTTTGCATTCAGGGAACTTGTTGAAATTCCCTGTTGAGTGTGTTGAGGTAGAACTACCTTGACTGTTTTTACTATAATTTATTGTGCTTATTTCACACACCACTGTGTCTGTGTCCATCCACTAAGGTCATAGGAATGAGAATAAAGATACTGTGGTTTTTTGTTTTGTTTTGTTTTGTTTTTTTTGTTTTGAGACAGGGTTTCTCTGAATTGCTTTGGAGGCTGTCCTGGAACTCACTCTGTAGACCAGGCTGGCCTCGAACTCACAGAGATCCTCCTGCCTCTGCTTCCTGAGTGCTGGAACTAAAGGCCTGTGCTACTACTACCCGGCTGATACTGTTTTTTTCTGTACAAAATTTTGTGGGGCTGGAGATGAAGCTCAGGTGGTGGGATGCTTAGCTGGCATGCACAGAACCCTGGCTTTGGTCCTGAGCACCACATGAACCAGGTGTGGTAGGTAGCTCATGACTAATCCTAGCATTCAGGAGGGTAGAGGCAGGATCAGGAAGTCAAGAGCAACCTGTCTTACCAAAGCAAAGTTATTTGGAAATTAACTCTAGTTTTAAAGAAGACAGAAATGTAGGAATAAGTTGGGTAGAGCTGCTGCTTTGGGGTGGGTGACCGTGCCTCTGTCTGCTTCTTGTGTTCTAGGTCTCACCAATGGCTTTGGGGGTACTAGAAGCGAGCAGGAGCCGGGCAGTGGCCTGGGGAGGAAAGCTGCGCCCCGACGGCGCTGTGCATCTGAATCCAGTATTTGTTCCAGCAACAGCCCGCTCTGCGACTCAAGGTAGGCCCTGTCCTCGAGCAGGGTGCGTGACTTTAATCGGAAGACTTCTGAGAAAGGCTGCCCCCCAGTTTAGTTGATGTGTGTGCTCTGCCATTCAGGGAAAGCTTCTCATGAGATAAATTTGATTTACTTGGTAGAATTTAACTGGAAGTCAGAAGTAAATCTATATATAGAAAAGGTTAATCTAAGTTAGTGTATAGTTAACTTGTACTCTGTACTTTCCATCCCCCAAATCTGTCCCTTACTGAGATTATGGTCTGCATAGCCATACCTTCTGTGGTGGTCAGCTGGGTAAGGGTGGTCCAAGTATCCTCACTGGAACAGGCTCACTTTTCTTGGGTCTCTATACCCCTTGGCAGCCCAGCACCTGATGTAGGATGAAGCCACAGGCACGGGGCTCTTTGCTGTAGTCTGTTTGACTCATGTCTGCTTTTTCTCCTGAAGTTTTAGTACACCCAAGTGTGGGCGAGGGAAACCTGCCCTTGTACGAAGGCACACACTAGAGGACCGCAGTGAGCTGATATCTTGCATTGAGAACGGGAACTATGCTAAGGCTGCCAGGATTGCAGCTGGTAAGTGTATCCATATTGATTGATTGATTGATTGATTGATTGATTGATTGATAATACAGTGGCTGGAGAGACAAGGTCTCCCAGAACAGTCTGAATACCCTTGGTTCTGGGTAGTTCTTTTTCTTTTCTTTCTCTTTTCTCTTTCCTTCTTTCTTTCTTTCTTTCTTTCTTTCTTTCTTTCTTTTTTTCCTGTTTTTTGAGATAGGGTTTCTTTGTGGCTTTGGAGGCTCTCCTAGAACTAGCTTTTGTAGACCAGGCTGGTCTTGAACTCACAGAGATTTGCCTGCTTCTGCCTCCTGAGTGCTGGGATTAAAGGTGTGTGCCACTACCACCTGTCTCTGGCTAGTTCTTCATCATCAGGTTTGTCCAGGCCAGGATCTGCCCAGGGTGTCTGTCTTGACAACTGAATTCCACTGCAGGGTGGTCATTCCTAGTTTCAGGCCACAGTATAAGGGAGATGAACCTGAAGGCTGATGTTGTTTAGACTTTTCTGTCAGAGTGGGCCAAACCAACTCCAGAGATAGAAGCACCTGTTATTGCCTGAAAATTTGGAGCTTTGGTGGGGCCAGCTCTCTGTGAAGGCCACTGTGTTCTGTGGATGTCAAGGCAGAGACCTGAAGATGGGGAGGGCCAGAGACTGCAGGGTATGGTGTGGCCATACAAGCTGCAGTGAATGTGGGTGGGCGTGCTGGAGGTTCTAAGCATGGGGAGGCTAATGTATTTTGCTGCTGTGAGGTGGGACCAGGGACTGGTCGGATACTTCTTACCAGCAGTATTCAGTGGGGGCCTGAACACGGTGGACTGGGCTGTGTCTTGGACTGCTGGATGTACTCATCAAGGCTTGGAAGAGCAAGGTGGTGGTGGTGGTGGTGGTGGAGCAAGCCAGGACTTGGATTTGGGTTTTTGGTTATGTAATAGGCATCTGGTACATGCCAAAACCCCCATCTTTAGAGTTCAAGTGTGGTAAAGTATTGGAGACCTGGAGTCATAGGCCTTAGAGCTGGGGAGGGTGGGAGGCAGGGAGGTCTTTGACAGGCTTCTAGGCCTGACCTCCATAGGAGGAAGTGAGGTAGTTTGCCTCTTGTAGACTTAGGTGGTGCCATGGGACTGTCCTGCTGCAGCAGCTAGGGAAGCTGGGGCCTGGGTGGGCTTTTCTCAGCCCTGAGGCTTTGTGGCTGTGCTGGATGTGTTGGGTGTTCTGCTGGTTCTGATTCTGGGGTTCTTCTTTTTCTAGAAGTGGGACAGAACAGTATGTGGATTTCCACTGATGCTGCTGCCTCTGTCCTGGAGCCCCTTAAAGTGGTGTGGGCCAAGTGCAGCGGCTACCCTTCCTACCCAGCACTGGTGAGTCTAGAGGCTGTGAGTAGGGTGTTCTGGTGGGACCTGGGGTGGGACCCCAGTGCATGCTTTGTACCTTGCAGTTCCTGTGCTGCCAAGGGTGTATGGTTGTCATGGCTCTGGAGACAGGTGTGTGAGTGGCTGTGAGCTTTTAAGGCATGTGGCTCTGAGTGACTGGAGCATGTCCTTGGCAGATCATTGACCCCAAGATGCCACGAGTGCCTGGCCACCACAATGGTGTCACCATCCCTGCCCCACCCCTGGATGTGCTGAAGATCGGTGAGCACATGCAGACCAAGTCTGAGGAGAAGCTGTTCCTTGTTTTGTTTTTCGACAATAAGAGAAGCTGGTGAGTGTGGTGTTTAGGGCTCTGCAGTGGGCCGAGCTAGGGGCCTATTTATTAGTCCCAGGACTTGGCTTGGTCCATGTTGAGTCAGGGTGTCTCCAAGTAGTCTGTGTCCTGGTCCTTGTCTACTGAAAAGGGCACTGTCCAGTAACTCCGTGCTGGTCACTTCCCACCTGACAGCTCCTGTCACTTATTCTCTCTCTCTGAATGGCTCTGCCTGTCTTCATTTCTTGCTCCAGGTTCCCTTGCATGGGCTTTCTGACCCTACTGCTTTGCCAGGACACAAGCTTTACTTCCTTCCTGGAGTTCCCTGTCTATCTCCCCTAGCCTGCCTTCACCCAGAGCTGCTGAGACCACTATTATGCCATGGTTGAGATCCTGAGACGGGTGTTACTTGCTGACATCTTAACCATATTTAGTTGAGTCCAGACCTTTCCTATGTGGCCCTTTATGACTGTGTCCTATCCTCTGGGAATGCTTAGGACTAGGAGGTACTTCATATTCCCCCTGTGGAGTGGGCACTCTTGGGGACTTTCCAGGTCCCCTGTGGTGCTCTTTCCTCCCTTCTTTGCCTCTCTGGAAGCTGGTGTTCATCAGTGAGGCTTACACTGGCCTTACCCATTTGATGGTCCTGTTTGTAGTCTTCTTATCTATCCTAGGATGGTCCTCACTCTGCTCCAGGGTTCACTCACCTTACCTATGTTATGTGCACACATCTGTTCTGCTTTATCCCTTGTGTGCATATGTGTGTGTACTTAGGCTTACCTTGTGTATCACATATATGTGTATTCTTGGGCTTGTCCTGTGTGCACAGCTCTTATGTTTCTGACTTACCTCAATAGCCACTTGGATATGTTTTGGAAAGAGGGTTGTATCATGATTTTTATGCCCTATGTGAGTTCAGGGCTAGGTGGATGCGCTGTGCACCCCAGCCATCCTGCCTGAGGTCCAGCATGTGGGGAACTTGGGTTGTGTACTACCAGGTTCCTTCCTACACACACGGGCTGGTGGTTGGTAGACCATACTGAGAATAGGTTGGTGGTTCTTATGCTCTGTCTTCTCTCTAAAAGGCAGTGGCTTCCCAAGTCCAAGATGGTTCCTCTTGGTGTTGATGAGACCATTGACAAGCTGAAAATGATGGAAGGGAGGAACTCTAGCATCCGGAAGGCCGTGCGGATTGCATTTGATCGAGCCATGAATCATCTGAGCCGGGTCCATGGGGAGCCAGCCAGTGACCTCAGTGACATTGACTGAGGTGGCTTCCAGCAAAAGGCAGTGACCAAAGCCACAGCCATCCGGAAGCGTTGTCCATAGTGTTGATAAGCTGTACATGTTTGTATATTGTTCAGAACTTAACTTATTCTGATTTTCTAGGTGTAGTTCTTTAATT